CATCTGATATACTAATAATTTGAGATACTAATAATATATCCTGTAATGATTTTAGTAATTAAATGCGAAATTTGAAGTATTACATATCAATTCTTCGCTTATAACCATACCTTAACCTTCTATTATAACCATAACTATGTAGTTATGGTTATGGTTACGTGTAACGTGTAGCTACATGTGTAGTTACACGATACACGTAACGTATACCATACACACTTTTCAAATTTCGAATATAGGCTTTATCCACATAATGTGACGTAAGTAACGTAAATGACACGGAAGATTAGAGGTAATTTATTTTCTAATTACCCAAGAGGGAGCTCTATCAAAAATGCGAGTCTTTTTATCAAGGACCCTAATGATATTTCCAACAATATATATCCGACAGGAGGCTTTGGGTTTATAATAATTTTCTCAAGGGAACACGATGAAATAAAATAATAACTGCGAGATATAATAATATTGAATCTAATGTTATTAAATCTTTCTTGTGGCTAAGTACATATCGTACTCGTCTGCATCCATAGAATAGTACCCGGAGGACCCGGTTTGTTTATTTTTTTGGTAAATCGTGTATTTTGGAAATTACATTTAGATACAAATTACTGAGTAATGAAATATGCATATTATTTTTCGATCTTACCGACTTAATAATAAGAAAATATGAACTGATATTTTTCTCAAAAGAAAGAACTTTTAAAAAAAGGGAAAAAAATAACAAAAAAAGAAATCGATAAAAAATTAAAAATAAAGAAAGTAATGATCTGGAATCGAAAAAAAGTAGAAAAATAAATGTGTAAATGATGGTGACGCGAACCACGGCCTTCTGTTTTGGAGCCGCCCGATTACCGACCGAGCTATTATGACATTTTGTCTTGCGGTGAAATTTACCGTCATATTCGAATAATATTTTTCATTCCCTGAAAACAGGGATAAAAGGACATTTTCTGAAAATGAAACCTAGCTAGATCGATTTTTCGCCCCCAAATCTACGCATATACTAAAATTCATGAAAATCGCTGGAGCCGTTTCCGAGATTCCGATTATGTATATACAAGAATTGCTCGTTTAAAGGATAAGATTTACTAATTCAAGCAGCAGTTTATGGGAGCTCAATTCATACCGCTATGTTTTTTATTTTGTATTATTCAATGAACACCAGTTTTATTAGAGGTTTGGCGTTATTCCCTAGTGCTGTCCACCCATTAAGACCGAATAATGTCAATTAACCAGCCAGTTATACTTACATTAAGGGAAACCGGCTGAGATGAGTCGGTGGCTATTGGTTTTGGTGCTGTTGGTTACGTTTTCGATTCCCTAGCGGGACAAGTAAGTGTGTGACTCAAACATATTGTGCCGACCCGCCTAGGAGTAGGAGAAAGAAGAGGAGAAAGTGTCTGAAGTAATCCCGTCACAACTCTTTTAACGAAACTGCTATCTATACACATATTAGTATTTACAATGTAACGTTATAGTGTGCGAACAGCAATTAAATGTTACCGTCCAATTCAATATTTGGAGTTTGGATTCGAGGTTAATTCCTTACGCGTAACCCCAATGTCACATAATTATTAATGCCGGAGCACATTGATATTTCTGTTTCACTATGTCTATTTACTGTGAAATTTGTAAGGGTGTCGGCGTTTGTTTGTTGAAAAGAACATTTTCTGGGGTAACTTTTCAAAGGCGAATTAAACATTATTGAACTAGTCGACATATGATAGAAGAAATTTATTTTCAAAGTGACATGTTGTCATTAAGTATGTACAACACTGGTATGTACAACTTACTTTATGGCCTTAATAAAATTTTTGTGTAACTTCTTGCAACATAATTAATTCGAGTCAGTTATAAATAAAATCGTTAAAAATGATCATAGGAGCCAAATTAACATTATTTCGTTAAGTTGATTTTGTTACTAACATTCTTCACCTAAAAATAACATATTAATCATGCTCGTAAGAATTTACGAAGTAGCATATTTTTCATATTGACAAATATTGAAATAAATACATTTCATATTGACAAATCTGTATATCCGTCGTAGAAACTCGGATAAGCAAGATGAAACCCGTGATCTACTTCAAAACCTTTGAGAAAACAAACAAGCCTTAAGTAATATTAAATACAGAGATGGTATGAAGCTAGCTTGACACGATAGCTCTAATATATATAATACGTATGATAGTAAATGTCCATGGGCGGCGGTAATCACTTAAAATCAGGTAAACCGTTTGCTCGCTTGACAACTTTTCACATAAAAAATAATCTTAAAATTACGGTACAGATTATACCGCGCCTGTGGAGAAAGTGTATGTGTACAGATAACTGCCGAATAGAAAATTCCATGTTTGAACTTCAACCGTTAATCGGCTGCTTAATAACAGAATGGCAAATTAGGCACTGCGTGAAATGTTACATTTGACTTGGCCTAATGACTAATATGAAAACAAATCTCTACAGCAGTTCCTACAAACGTAAGTTTGAAATACCAGAGTTAAAGTGATATTCATACCCGTTGGAATTGTCACACACTAAAACATTTCTAATGCAACACGAACAATCGTTATAGGAATTTGAAAACATTGAACAAAAAAAATCCATAAGATAGACAACTAAACTAGATAGACAACTAGCAAATTCCATTTGTATAATGTTACAAGGCTGGTATTGTAATTCATAAAAATATGTATTGTAAAAATATGTATTGAAATGAAATTGTTTTTAATATACATATTGTCAGTGCACGTTTTCGGGCAGATTATATTAAAGGATGGTTCTGCCTCACCGTTTTCGTTTACCTGTCATCCCTGTGTTTAGTTGAAATAAATACAGTATCATTTTATTCTGCTGCCTTTCATGCTAAATTTTTCAAAGAAAAGATTTTTTCTACGAACTGTCAAGCAATTTAGAGTATCTTTATAGTAAGCAATTATAAGTAAAAATATTCAAAGACGACAAATGCAGAGGAACCGATTGGACGGTGACAATACCCCAAGGGTTCGCCGTTCCAATCGCTAATAGTAGCGTGGCTCAAAAACAACATATGGTGACAAGCATTCGTCATCATATATGAATTCTGCACTAAGCAGGACTCTTCGATATACATAAGCGGGTTAAAAGACGTCTGTTTTATTGGGTAAAATAAATTATTTCATAAATATTTACATAGATACAAAATAAATTACCAAAAGATTGCAAATTTAGTTGTAAATCCGATGGCTGTACGATTCCACGTAAAATATATTGAAATGGAAGAATAGAGTTCGAATACTATATACCTATACTCGTATGGTTATGCTTCATAATTTCCTATTTGAACACAACGGAACAATTGGCGACATTGCTGCCACTCTTCCTGATTGGCTCCCAATTTCCGATCCACTTTCTGATGTTATCTTCTTGGAGAACGTGCTCATTCCGTGTGACATCTGCATATATATAGAGATTTTTTGAAATGCTAAGAATTTTGACAAACTATATGTACAAAGAAATACTAATTGTTTCGTGCATGTTTCTAAATACGTACGAAACATGCCAACAAATACATTTTCAGTACATATTTTAATATTTATACTTACATGTATCCTATGTGTTTATATTAATATTTGTATTATTACAAACTTTTATTTAATTTGCAATGTATGTGAGGTTGTCCGGATAGAATGTTGCAACTGAATTATAAATCAGTTATCTTTAACCGTTAATCGGTTAATGATAGCTGCTATTTGGTATACACCCTTATTTATAATGACAATGCAAACTATGCTATGTGACGTCATTCTAATTCTAATATAGCGGGTCATCCAAAAGTAAATAAATACATATTATAAATATATATATATATATATATATATGTATATATAAATATATACACCCAAACACTAGAAAAATACCATGTTCGTCACACAATATGTTTCTAGTCGTGGGGATGGAAACCACGCCCTCTGTCGCAGAGGCAAGTACACTACCCACTACACCATTGAAGTCATCCAAGATTGCGGACTACTTATTCTTTCTGCACTACCCCATCATTTATATCAAATTTAAAGGCTTGATAAGGAGAACTTGTCGCGAGATTTACCAGTGTATTAACTACTCTTATATTTTATTGGCAGGATATATCCTACTACGTGAACCATGATAGCTCATTGTCCGGGCGATCGCTTTTAATTCCATATACTCGAGCAACCTAAGTTCGATCCCCGGTGCTGAATTATCACGTGCTCAGCGGTGAAGGGAAACATTTGAATATATGTCAAGTTCGTCAATACGCAGCGGGGCCGCGTGGTGGACTTTGTCCCGATACCCTCTGTACAGAGCAGGCCTTTGCACAGCAGTGGGACATTTATAGTCTGTTATTTTACTTTTTTCCTTTCTTACTTTTTTAAACCACTGTTGGCCTCAGGGGATTACAGATCTGCTACTCTTTCTTGACATACGTATTATAAGTACTTCTATGAAAGAATATGTTTCATTTATAAAACATGCAAATCTCGCGCAAGTTTTTATACCATTTAATAAATTGTGTAATACATGTAGTAAATTGGATTGGCTTGATTTAATCTAAAGTTTATTTTCTTCTTTTTAGGGCAGTTAAATAAAAGGTTGTTTTTAAAAAGTTCTTTTTCTTTGTTAATTTGTCTACTTTTCTAGAATACTCTAGAGTGTATACTCTCACTTGAAATGAGTGAATTGTTATTAAAGTGTAAAACAAACGCGTTGATTAATATGAAATGAATAAAGGACTTTAAAACAGTAGTAGGGACACGCAATAGACTTCGCTGTTGCACTAATGGGCAGATCGGTCCGGGTAAGTTCCACGACCTCACAGAAGACCGGCGTGAACCCATTTTATTGTAAGGTGGCAACGCATCTGCAAACCTAAGGGTGTTGCAAATTTCCATGGGCGGCGTTTATCGCTTAACGTCAGATGAACCGCCAACTCGGTGGCCATCTTCTTACATAAAACAAACCTTAATATAAGCCCTTTCTCGCAGGAATGTTCGGTGTTTATATTCGATAAGCGCGCCTCTGAAAAGCTCTTTAAGCCGAAACGCAGGGAGTGCATGCTCCGGCGTATACGCAGCTGCGTCGACCAACTCGAGAAGTTGCGCCATCCCAGGATGCTGCAGATAATCCACGCCCTGGAAGAAGGCACCAACACCTTCGCCTTTGCTTCTGAGTCAGTACTTGGTAGCCTGCACAACATCCTGTCTTGGCATGTAAGTCATTCATCATTGTATAGGTTAATCAAATAAACATTTTATTTGGTAAAACCTATGCAATAATCGTTATTTACCATTAAAATATGTATGGCTATAAAACTTGTTAATTTATGTATGACTCTTATCTTCATCTATATCTTTCATCGACTATCTAATCTGGTCATAACGAACAGAATACTTAAAAAAAATATTTTTTTGTAACAAAAAGTGCGGTTCAATAATAACTCCGATGACCGATTCAATAAGTACCTTAAATATCATTAAGAATTCTCTATCATTATCAAAGAAATATATCAAAATGATTTACCTGCAAATTAAGTCTTTGAACAGAAAACTTAATTGAACTCTTCTAATAAAAATTGCTCCTTGCATGCTCATTAAAAGCACTATTGTGAACATGGTACTCGTTTGCTGTAGACGCTAGGTAATAATGGAGACCACTACGTACGTGTGTTGCTATTACACTTTGCGCAGGAGTCATCGCCTGTGCTTCCGGGCGGTCAGGCTCCGATAATGCCCCACCCAATGTCGTTGGGACCACCAAGTTCGCACAGCTTCCTGAATCCGGCGCCTCAGCCGCAAACCCCACCGTTTGCCAAGGAGTATTACTTCATTGACATCGAGTTGCGTTATGGCTTCCTCCAGGTATAACTTTTTAAATAGTTCTGGTAAGACCACACAGCAGTCTGAGACAGTTGCAAATGGGCAGGTCCGTCCGGGTAAGTACCACGACCTCACAGAAGACCAGCGTGAAGTGGAAGTGCTATATGCCACTTGTGCGGTTCGTCTGGTGAGTGAGGTAGCCGGAGCCCAATTTTCAAAAGGGTGTCAACAAATCTGTAACCCTCGGGTGTAGCAGATGTCCATAGGCGGCGGTTTTCACTTAACATCAGGTGAACGGTCTGCTCGTTTGGCAACTTTTAACATAAAAAAAGATATTAACAGGATTGGTGCTAATATACGTGATCTAAATGAAATCAATAGAAAAATAAATAATGAATTACCACTAATATAGCCAATGTTTTTCCAAGGTAGGTTAGGTTACCGTACCGTTAAGCGTCATGTTCAATAAATCGTTAATTGGTTTCAACACCGGTACAGGTACCCAGACAAGTTGTACAAGGCGTTTGAAATCTGATTTATTGGGATCTTTCATCTGTGAAAAACTTTGTAATACGCCAATTTCATCCGACCGTGTTCTGTGTTTGAAGCTAATAGTTGACATACACGTGATGTAATTACAAATACAAGGCTGTTGGCATAGCATGCTGAACAAATTTCTTCGATAATTCTTCTTAACCTCTTCCAGATTCGATTCTGGAGTGCAAAGCGTTTTTACAATGCAACATGATCATATTCTTTAGCATAAAAAAGAAATCTAAAAAATTATAGTAGCACATTAACTTTTTAAAATGCAATATTTGAAAAACAATCAAAGTATGTCAAGACGTAATGGTATTAAAAGGCTCTGTGTATTTTGTAAAAAGGATTTAACCTCCGTGGTATCAGTGAATGGCATGTATGCGATCAGAATTCGCTCAAAGTTCCATTATATAAAATTCTCGTGTCACGGTGTTTGTAATTGAACTTCTCCGAAACGGCTCTACCGATTTTCGTGAAATTTTATGTGCGTATCGACCAGGGTGGAGAATCAGATATCATTTGTTCTTCATCCCCCTAAATGTTAAGGGTGGTCCACCCCAAACATTTTTTTCTACCCTACAAATAATTTATATGACATAACAACGTTTGCCGGGTCAGCTAGTATACAGGTAAAAAGCATAGAAATTCTGTGTATTTTAGGCATGGTTCGGCAACGATCCAACAATTTTAAGAACTTTCGTATACATAATAACTTAACTTAACTTGATAACTTTATTTCTCACCACATCGGTTTGTACAATTTATAGAATATAGAACTAAATTTAAAGTTCAAAGCAATGTGGGAGACTGATGCCTAAACTAGGCAAAGCCTGTATTTTAGGCCATCAGGTCCCCCTCCCAGATATAAATATGTATCCACTATAATTGAATTACAATTTGCCGAATACTATACATGCAATTTCGTTAGAAAAGTGTGTGTGGGTGAGTATATACATAAGTGTGTGTGTTTGTGTGTGTGTGTGTGTGTGTGTGTGTGTGTGTGTGTGTGTGTGTGTGTGTGTGTGTGTGTGTGTGTGTGTGTGTGTGTGTGTGTGTGTGTGTGGGGGGGTGGGTGTGAAAATCTCTTGCACATAGTAGAAGTATGGTTATAATGGGTGGTACACACGCGGTCTTTACGTCGCTTTTGTAGTAAAAGATTCGGTTCATGTTTTAATAGAGTATGCTTTTTTAACACCGTATACAGAATGAATAATTGTCTGACTGTAAGTACTTTAGCGTTTTTATACAGTTCAGAGGTAGGATATTTCAAGGGGAGAAAACTACTTACTTTTAAAATCAGTCTTTGAGACCTTTCTAGTGACAACAAGGAAGATTTATTAGCTCCCCCCCAGCTAGTAATACAATATATTATTAGTGATTGGCATAGAGAAAAATAGACAGATCTAATAGTAGTTGAATCGGCCACGTTTCTGAGTGTTCTAAAGATATAAGTCAATTTACGTAACCTATTGGAAAGTGCGTCAATATGAAAGTTAAAACGTAAGTTAGCGTCTAGTAAAATGCCAAGGTATTTAATAGTATGTACTTGTTGCAACGGTGTACATGCGCAAGTAAAACAGTGGGGAAATTGACAAGTATGCGCAGTAATGTGATGAGTAGGAACAAGTGATGATTTAATCTTTTGTCTAGAGAATATCAAATACTTAGTTTTGTCTATGTTAAGAGTTAGTATGTTATCATGGAGCCATTTGGTAATCCTATTTAGCCCAGTTTGAACTGAATTGAATACATGATCCCAAGAAGTACCGCTAAATATTAGTGCTGTGTCGTCCGCAAATGAAAAAATTTTTCCATTCTCCAGTTCGAGTTTGCAAAGATCGTTAATATAGACAAGGAATAAAGTGGGGCCAAGTATACTACCCTGGGGAACACCATAACATACAGGGAGCTCATCACTTGTATGTGGACCTATTTTTACGCACTGTGTTCTATCGGTAAGGTAATCTTTAAAAAGCCTTAATTGCATACCCCTTATACCTAGCCTTTCAATTTTTTGCAACAGAATTGTAATGGAAACAGTGTCAAAAGCTTTCGCTAAATCAAGAAATACCCCCACAACCTTTTTTTTCTTCTCCAAACCATGTATTATATGATCTGTTAGCTCATGTACTGCGTCAGAGGTTGATTTCCCTGCTCGAAATCCAAATTGGTTAGGTGATAATATTGAGTTAGCCTCTAAGTAGCTCATAAACCTTATATACATGACGCGTTCCAAAATCTTCGACAGTGATGGTAGGATGGATATAGGTCTATAATTTGAGATTTGATTTCTATCACCACTTTTGAAGATCGGATGAATGATGGATTTTTTAAAAACAGTCGGAAATACTCCATGTGTTAGTGCCAGATTACAAGCATAGGTGAGAGGGGGAATTATAACTTTTTTATGTTGTTTTATAAATCTACTAGAGATATTATCCCAACCAGCGGCGGCATTATCTCTGAGCCTGTCTATGATGGATTCGATTTCAGCTTCATCGGTGGGTAATAGTACCATGGAGTTGACGATATTACTATTAATATGCAAAGGAGCCTGCTTGGAAGCGAAGTCCCTATTAATTATTTCGGCAAGCTGTCTGCCCACATTAGCAAAATGTGTATTGGCTACATTGACGCCCACATTTGGTGAGGAGAATTGTGACAAAAATTGTATGGGACTTTCCTTGCTAATGTTTCTGTTAGTGATTTTATTTACTACTTTCCATAATTTCATATTATTTGAACCTCCGTTTTTTATTTCATTACTTTCATATTCATTCTTTATTTTTTTCAGGAGGTTATTGCAAAAGTTTCGATATCTAGTAAAGGTTAATTTTAGGACTTCATTATCTGGTGATTTTTTGATTTTTTTATGTAAGTTATCCCTATGTTTTATGCATCGTAATAGTCCTGGAGTAATCCAGGGTTTTAATATTTTTTTACGATTGGGCAAAACAATTTTCTTTGTGTTACGTTCGATAACATGTTGAAGAGATTGAACCAAATAGTTAGCAGCCACATTGGGATCGTTAGTAGAGTACAAAGTAGAGAAGTGGATCTTAGTCAGGTCAGATATTATTCCTTTATAATCTGTACGATATATTGTGGTAACGGCGTATTGTCTACGGAATTGACTTACATGGAAAAGAGCTACAGTGTCATGATCAGTTAGAGACGAATGCATAACGAGTGCCTTTGCTGGTAGTTTAGACTTAAGCATAACATGGTCAAGGCAGTTATCGTATCGAGTGGCAAATGTATGAGCCGGCAATAAACCGTATGCTGCCAATACATTAAGATAATTAATCTTATTCTGATCGTGATGATTTTCGCTAATATTGATGTTAATATCACCTACCAGAATGACACTTTTAATATGATTAATTCTGCCCAGAATAGCACCTAATGAATTTGTAAATTCAGTGGTATCCCTCGTACCGGGAGAGCGGTAGATAGCGAGAATTGCAATTTCTGAGTTAATATTTAAAAGTAAACCATTTGCGTTTCCAAAGTGTAACTCCTCGGACGATATGACGAGATGACTGCTAATATAGACCACGACTCCATCATTTTGTGTGTAGTTGAGAGTTGTGGAAATGGCTTTGTAGCCATCTAAAAAGGGTAAGGTAGTTGTTGTTTGCAACCAACACTCTGTTAGAACAATAACATCCCAACGCACTTTAGTTCTTGCAATCAAAGTAAGGAAGCCAGAGAAGTTATGAGATATACTTCTTATATTTTGACATATAATTTTGAGCGACTTCTTGGTGTTGGGATCCAATAGGGAACAGTCCTCGACATCGCAAAGAGCAGATTCGGCTATGGAGAAGGAATCCAAATTGTTTGCAATATTATCTATATCATCCATTTTTAAAGCGTGTAGAATATATTTCCAAGACATAAATTTTCAAAAAATGTAAACCAATCATAATACGGTGAGTGAAATAAGTTAAGAAATAATTTATCGCTCGAGAAGTAATCATAAAGGTATTAATAAAAGATAAAAAATAAAATTCTCTTTGGGCAGCCCTAGCAATGTTGTGCTTGTTAGAAAACAACATTTTCAACTCAAATTGGTTTCTACGCACTAGTATAAAAAGTAATAATTTCATAATTAAATATTTTCTTTCCGTGTAACAGCATATATGTGTATAGTGGTTAGTCATTTTAGTATATAGGATTGAGTAGCTTCCTTTGTTGTGTATAGTAACGTTGCCAATATGATGTAGTATATCTTGTGTATACGTAGTAGAATAGAGATACGTACGCGTGTAATGTAAGAGTGTGTAGATTAGACAGTAGTGTATAAGTGTAATAGGCACATAATAACGGGATAAAACAATGGAGAAAAAACTTAAATAACAAAAATATTGAAATTAATAACTACAGAGATTAATGAAAGAATGTAAGAGTAAACGATAAGGCTTAGTCATGATTGCCTTCGTAGTTTCGTTAGATCCTCTTCATTGTCTATTCGTATGTAGTTTTCGCCATGTGCCTTACGTAGATATACTTTGCCCCTGACCGTCCAGCAGTATGCGAAGTCATTAGTCTTAGCGAAGTCTCGGGCCAAAAAGAATAACTTTTTAACTTTCTGGGTCAAATTTTCGGAGACATAAATAGGAGTTGTAGGGCCTGGAAACTGCAGATGCGAAGAATTTAATTTGCTATCCTTACTTCCTTTATTAAATTTTTTTATACATTGTAGCATAGCCTCCTTCCGCAAAACAGAGTTGAATTCAACAATGATTGTACTATTTTTACTTTTGTTGTTAATGCGAAATATGTCCCGTATTTCTGAAGGTTGAATGTGGTGATCGAGTACTTTCCCAACGTTAATAAGACAATTTAATAAATATTCTTTAGATTCTCCAATTTTCTTGGGAATATTTTTAATTTCCAGGCAGGCCATCCTAATATGTTTTTCCATGTTCTCCAATTTCGCCTCAAGCGATTGTATGTGGTCGAGATTCTTTTTTTTTTCCGATTCTAAGTTTTCTATTTTAATAATAATATCGTCATATTTTTCAGACAAGAGGCTTTGGGATTTACGAATGTCTTCATTTTGTACTTTAATCTCATTAATATTCGACATTAGTGAGTTAAAATTAGTGTGAAACAAGGACAGGAGTTCCAATTTAAACGCCTTTAGCTCTTCAGTGTACTCCCCATGGTCACGTTTTCGCTTGTTTCTGTTACTAGCGTTGTCAGTCGATCCTTTTGTGCTTGAGTCCGACTCACAGTTCGAGCTTTGCAGGTCACGGGGTGGGGTTCGCTTGAGTGGCATGATTCTACAAATTTCAGCGGTAGATGGAGAAAAAGTTGCGTCCGTGATCGACGATTACGTACGTTGTGAGAAGTACTAGGAGCTCAGGTGGTACGACCGATGTGTGACAGAGATGAGTTCAAGTTGGGTCGTTCCTAGGGGCGGTGCTAAGCGTTCAATGACGGATGAGTCACTGTGCCCAGTCAGTAATAGGGTCATAGATCGGTGCAACTCGATGCGCCTGGTACTTTAAGTTCTTCGTAGTATGCGCTCCTAATTCATAGTATAGAATGCAAACGGGCCGTACCTGAAGGCGGTGCTAGGCAATGATTGACAGCTGGTTTACTATACACACCACTAAATAGAGTGGTGACTCGGTGTTGGATACTCCTGGTACTTGAATTTCTGCGTGTTATGCACTCCTATTATTTAATGGTAATAAATCGAACGATTTAATAAATAAAGCGATATGAATTGCACTTAAAACACGTCAACACGAAACCGAGGATCCGGGAGGATAATCTATTTTGCATCTAAGTGTTTTTGCTTGTAAATCATACATTGTTATTAAGCTTCCCCTATTGCCTAGATCATCGAAGCCCTGCACTACTTGCACTACACCATACGCCAGGTCCACCGCAACGTGTGCCCACAGGCTATAATTGTCACCAAGCGCGGCACATGGAAACTCTTCGGTCTCGAGTTTGTCGGTAAGTCCCACTCTTTCAAATAATAAGTATTTGTTCATTCTTAAGTATCGCTGAAGTTAATGTGATTGGCGCCTGGAACTCGTATAAAGAATTGCAGTATACTGTGTATATTGCTATGAAATAAAAAAACGTGTGGATTGATAACTGAATTCATTAGTGGTGTAATTAACATTAATTTTATTTTCCGAGAAGTCGGTTAGTGGCAAAGAGTTATTTGTTGCATTATCTTTTTGTGATGAATAGGCGGGTGGTATTGGTGGGATTAAGTCTCGGGTGGCCTCGTATAAAATATATTGCTACTCTTTTCTCTGGGTACAAATCTACTTTCCATTTGCAAAACTAATCGCAGAGGCTGCGTAGGTGGCATTTTGGAGACTGACAGCAATACGGCTTAGAAGCTTGTCAATACAGAAGAATGTCATGTCGTCCGCGAAAAGGGTTCAATTTTTGGGCCTTACCTCTTGTAGATTGAGAAGAACATCGGGGAAAAAAATTATCCTTGAGACCATTTATATAATATTCCGTGATGCGTTAGGCTTATTCGGGGAAGCTTCGGACTAAAGACGAATTGTTCTGTGGGAATGTGGCTGTTGAAAAAACCTAGTCCTTCAACCTTTTTGAAAATCAATTGCTTCTATAGTTTCCACAACTTGAGGCGACTAATCGCACGATAGCTTGGGAGATATTTTATAACTATTTTATTAATATCGTGATCTTAAATAGGTGCATGTGCTCGATATTTTATATGTGCATCATATATATATGTGATAATAAATTATATATATATAATTTATTTTAATATATATATAATAAATTATATATATAATAAATTTTACATAATAAATTATATACATGTATAATAACGCGCAAGCAGCAAAATTAGATTTAGAGCAGCCGAGGTAATTGAAGTGGAGGCTAAGTATGACGTAATTTCACCTAACTGCAGAGTATACCCAAAAACCTGCCGCGTCAATGGCTGAGAGTGAGCGAGCATGTTTCTGGTCTTAATGCAGCTAAATTTGTAAATGCTTTACTTAAGTTGCACACAATCGTCGATATAGATCGCTTAGAGTGTCCACCCGGAGAGATTCGTACCACATGGAGTAGAACGGGCTAACGGTTTGGTTTGTATAGGAAGAGCCCAAAAAGGCAGTTGTTCTGAACCTACAAATTATATACCAAATTCAATTACCTATATGCATACTGAAAACCGAGTCCAAAAATGTGTAAACCACCGCTAATATAATAATTATTTAATAGTTATGAACTATTCAATACATTATCTGCGGTCAGAAGTATTCCATACCTTTACTGTCGACACTCACCGCGATCGAACGCTATAGGAAAAGTAGAAAAGTGTTATTTATGGACAAGGAAAGTTTTCCCGTTCAAGTACAATTTGAGTGTCTTCTACTTTCTGACCCCTTAAGAACACAACACTAGTCTCCATCAGATTGGAGACTAGAAAGCTCTGGCCAGTTATTGGTTGAAAAGAAAAAAAAACCATTAACAAGATACTGTTGCTTGATCACTGCATTACTGGGTATGAGTCTTTTCTAAATCGAGTAGATTTAGCCTGAAAAGAGAGGAAATACAATTATGCTAAAGGCAGTTCTCAAAATTTTTATCATATAAAATAAAAACGTTTTTATCAATCAAGTCGCAATTCGTCTATTCGTCTTCCGATTACATTTTTATATACATAACACACAAGCATTATATTGAAAGATAGGAGTGCAATAAGCAGTCCATGTGAGTGGCAAGCCCATAATCTTGTACCGTATTTATTTGTATGTCACCACAAACGATGATACATATATCGTTATACCATAGGTTATATCATAACAATATTAATGAATAATTTTTCCACAAAGTGGGTTGACAGTCAAGCACCAGCCTATAATGATAACAAATAAGTAACATCTGTTTTAATTCACTATTAATTGTGCTTGCCATCCACTAATTTCACGAATCAACAAATGTTTGTACAACAAATCTACACAATACACCGTGTAAAGGAGCATAAAATTGAAATTCACGAGATTTATTCACGCCGAGGGCCATGTTTAGATGTTGGATCAAATTTTAATCACATTCAAAATTACTTCTAAACGAGTATTGCTTAATATTTACGTAGCACGTGTGATGGTTCGGAGGGCTTTGTGAAATTGAATAAGCAAATCAGCTTTAGTAATTACGCCGTAGATGCTCACTGGCAAGTGCCAGAATATATATGTGATAATAAAATATGGAAATATATATCATCCTGAACCTGAAATACGTACTATTAGGCTAGAACTTTTTGATGTGCATGCTGTTATCATATATTTTAACAAGTTCAGTTCCCTTTATAGTTCGAAATTAACCTTTTTAAATATTTTTTCGCTTATTGCTCACAACTTTATTAATTTTAATCATAAAGTTGTGTGAATGGAGATAATAAACATTTCCCGTGATTTAACCATTAGTACTTTACTGCATTTAATGTGCCAAAGACTTTTCCACATTTCATTAAACATATCGTAATGATAGGTATATTTACATACAACTGTTTTGGGGATTATGTCTTTTATTAACATATTCTCATGCATTTGCTTTATATATGTTGATGACGTAAAGCTTAGCTTCATGTATAGCTAAAAGTTCTTATGCCTCTCAAACAGAAAACATGATCACCTCGGATCCAACCGAGTTAATACCAGTGGCGCCATGGTCAATAAAAATTGCCAAGTTCTGCCAGCCTAGTCTCGATTTCTTGGGTACGTATAAAGACTGCTTCAATTTTTAATATTTGTAATATGTAACACCTATTGTACACAGTTAAGACAATAAATGATTATCTTATCTTATCTTATCTTTCATCAACCATGTCTTATTAGTAAACTTATTTCAAGTAAAGAATTAATTGTTTAAGGCTATAAACAATTAATTACTTCTATTGCTTAAATTTAAATTTTATCGAGTATTAATTTTATGACACATGATGTGTAGTAAGACAGGACTTGCAGTACCTATACACCGTGATAAATTGAACCGCATATCGCCTTCGCATAGCTATATAGCTATACCATAACACTCAGGGTCAGTTTATTGAAGGCTTTGTTAAAGCGCCTACAACACATTTATAGCAAGAAGATGGATTGTGTTGTGGCTTTTACATTATTTAAGCAAACATTTTATTGTACAATTGTAAGATCAAAATCCATCCATTGCGCGCATCACTTCTCTTGTATCGAAATCAGCAGGAGAGTTATAAAATAAAAATATTTCATGAGTTTTATTAGTGAAAATCCAGTTTCTTGCCTAAACAAGAACAGGCTTAAATTTGTGAAGAAACGCGTCGACGCATGTATTCGTTATACTAGGTGTTCGGTGGCTAAGGCCTGATTAAAGAACTCATCGTCTTGAATAAACCACGTGACATGTTTCCAATTGGCAAACAGCTCCGGAAGTCCAAACCAACGCGCACTGCAACATCCTTTCGGACATGTTCTCTTTGGGCCTGGTTATATGCGCAGTGTTCAACGGTGGGAAACCTCTGCTGCAGGCGAACAACAACCCTATGCTCTACATGAAACAGATTGAATTCGTGAGTGAATTTTACTAGTAATTACACGCTAATCTTATCTTATCCTTTAAACGAGCAATTCTTGTATATATATATTTGATTCGGGGGCGAACAATCGATCGGCGGCCGCTAACAAACAGCCACGAAACAGAAGGCCGTGGTTCGTATCACGATCAAATACACACTAATTTTTTACTTTTTTTTCGATTCCAGATCATTGCTTTCTATATCTTTTATTTTTTGTCGATTTGTTATTTTGTTATTTTTTTCCCTTTTTTTTAAAGTTCTTTCTTTTGTGAAAAACACCAGTTCATATTTTCTTATTATTACGTCGGTAAGATCGAAACATATTAAGCATATTTCATTACTTAGTAATTTGTATCTAAATGTAATTTCCAAAATACACGATTTACTAAAAAAAAAACAAACCGAGCAAAGCTCGGTCCTCCAGGTACTACTACTTTAATCACCAAATGTCACCAAATGTGATTTCGGTGGTCGAATACGGGAGTTTTCATGGAATTTGCTATGAAAATAGTTTTTACGCTTTATGTTCATAAATCGTATCTTTTATTTTGTTAATTTAGCGAAACTGTTTTAAAAAATTCTTAAAAAATTAAAAAAATAAATATATGTCCGTTTTTAAAATCAAAAAAATGTTAAAATTGGTTCATTAATGACGGAGTTCTGAAATAAAAAAAAGACATTAAAAAAAATGCAACCAAATTGAGAACCTTCCTCCTTTGAAGTAGATTCAAAAGGCGCTGTAACTTTCTACTTCAAATGAAAAGAACGTAACGATTAAAAAGTATACACTGACAATCATTCCGTTCAGCTCGACCATCAAGTCAATGCGGTACTTCCCCGCGTGCCGGCCGCTCTGCAGGAAGCCGTGCAGCGCCTGTTATCGCTAGATCCGCATCCGCGTCCGACAACACAATTGTTGCCGTTGATAAAATATTTCAAGTAAGTTTTAACACGAAATATTTTAGTGTAGCGTGCTTTTAAGATTTGTAGCTATTAGCGCAAAAACGTTCCACAGTCGAGTTACTTAGATCGATGTCGATGTTCTCTTAAACAGATGCCAGAGCGAGCCGGCAATACAAGCCATGCAGTTCTTGGACGTGATAACTGTAAAGGATGCGAACCAAAGGACAAACTTCTATAGTGCCATGCTGATCGATGCGTTGCCGTACATACCTAAGGTATGTGAATTGCTGTAAAACATCTCATCAGTAACACGTAGATGAAAACTTATTGTACTTTCCAAGCGCTGATTCGTTCTCTAAAACAGATAAAACGAATATTTTTAAACTTAAAAAGTGAAAAGTAAAGTAATGAATGTGAACAATATTATTTTTCAAATACATTATTTTGTATTGAATTTTAAAAGACAACTAATATAAGTAAGATATTTTATTTTATGTAACAATTTTAGGGAAACTAACAGCTAGCACATATTATGTATTGTATAATGCAGATTTATTGTAACTGAATATTATATTGACTTTATTTTATGTTTTTACACATAAAAATTTATATGCGAACAAGACCAACATAATCTTTACGTTAGTGTAATACATGTACTTGCGGAATAAATCGGACGTTCATGGGTAAGTAGTTTTTAGACAATATATTGAAAGAATGATCATTTCGCAGAAGTTACGTTGGCAACACGTTTGGCCTGTACTGCAACTAGAAGTTAGGACAGCTGAGGTCCTCGCTGCCGTACTGCAACCCATCATATGGCTCACAAACGAGGCCTCACAGGAAGAGTTCTCGCACTTCGTGCTACCAACGCTCAAGTAAGCATCTAAGCTATGTTATTGATCATAGAAGTTTTGTTATATGTCCTTGACGGAAAACATCTATACAGATAAATAAAATTAGAGCGTCTGTTTGTAATATAAAAATAACCGTTATCTACTAAATGCATATGGATGTATACACGGTGCATATACCAAAATAACATTTTTTTACAATTTTTGTCTGTCTGTCTGTTTGTTTGTTCCGGCTAATCTCTGAAACGGCTGGATAGCTGATGTAATAAGGAGTAACTTAGGCTACTTTTATTTTAGAACCGCGTACGAAGTCGCGGGCACAGCTAGTTAAAATTAAAATAAATATAATGATAATTTCTTGTATTTACGCGACTACACATTATAAATGAAACTAATTTTACGGATTTAGAATGTGGGCTCTCTTATATAGGGCAAACGAAAAGAGCAAAAAAAACCCGCGTGAAAGAACATATAGCTGACATAAAACATAGTAGTTTGAACAAGTCTGCAGTTTGTGAGCACACCTTAAATCGGCCCAACCACTACATCAGGTTTGATAGACCACAGATCCTTGCAAAAGAACACCGATTCCTCCCAAGGATGATTCGCGAGGTTATTGAAATTAAAAAACACACTAATTTCAATAGAGAAGAGGGTTGGGTACTACCATCAGCTTGGGATCCTGTCATCAATAAAATTAAATCTAGGCCCAAACGAACCACTACTGCAAGACAAGATACAATTAGCTACCTCTGCATAGACCGGACACAAAATTAATAATTCAAAAACTGACGGGTTAACTATGACAATCAGACGTCTAACACCTCAGTCTGTCCCGTGACCATGAACGCTGTAAAGGGTTCGAAACGTCGGGAATTAAAATTAAAAATAAACACGATAAATCCGTAAAATTAGTTTCATTTATAAATATAATGATATCCTTGATCGCCATTTTACAGTAAATGAAATATTCATTGACAATAATGTACGCCTATATCTCATTAGTGAATTAACAAGCAGAATTAAAATTAACCATTTCACTACCGAACCGGGGATCGAACTCAGGTTGTTGAACTCAGGTGTAAAGATCTATCAAAGCTCTTATATTTATTACGACCTTTATCCAATACCACAGCAAGTGGCTTCCGGTACCCATGGCACCTATTTTATTTATTTGAATCTTTTACTTATTATTATTTACGTGAATTTTTGGTCTATGTGTTATTTTTAATTTGTTTAAAAACAAAACACGTATGTTACATTTTTATATTCTGCTTTTCATTATAAAAGTGAATCCTGATTATTTCGTCAAATTGAAAGTTGAAATAGAAATTGTTATGAAACACAATCAAATTTAAAAAAACACAATTTACATTCGATCATGCCTAAAATCACTAAAGTTTTGACTTTACATACCTAAAATTAAAGCAGGCTGTCGTCGATTTCGAGGTGAAAATTAATTTCGAATTTAACTTGAACCATAGCCACATCGAAGTTAGATTTTCTTAGTTCGCAAATTGAAGTGATGAGATCTTTCTTCTGTATAAATTGGCATATTTGTAATAACTCAATAATATATTTGAAGACATTAGCTTATTTTTTAAGAAACACGTTACTATAACTGCATATATACATACTATTACATTACATACTATTTTATATATATACATACTATTTTATGCATATATTAATAACGTCTTCATGATATAAAATATATGGTATCGTAAAAATATCATCTCGAAATTTCTAGATGCTCGAAGTTCCAAAAATATGCATTATTGTTTATAATGATTAAATTGTTTGTATTTAATTGTATTTGTATAACTATCTGTGATTCCGTGAATATTTATTAGATCAGATTTGTACTCGTATTAATTTACGACGGAGACCCCTGCAAAACTTATCACGGAAACTGGCCAGTGACATGATTCAAAATTTTTTGAAACCCTATAATAAACATCTTATTGTCATACTCTCCTTACTCGTACGAACTGCACTCATTATTATAATATTTGTTCAGTGTACAGTAACAGGACATTAATGCCAGAAAAGTAAATAGTAAATCAGATAATTTAAAATGGATAGTAAGAAAAATTGTAATTGTATAAAGATATTTATTATTAAATTGCTCCACACAAGAATTTATTACGAACTTGGTAAAAATAGCTAGTCTTTTAGTGAAAACTATTCATATCTTTTTTTTTAACGTTGCCATTACTTTAGGATAATATGTGTTGTAATGACGTTTTACAAACATATATTTCACGCAGACAAACACCCAGATGCGAAACAACTGTCTGTGGGTCACACAAATAGTTGTCTCGTGTGGGAATCGAACCCACGACCCCTGACGCCGAAGCCAATATCTTGGCGTTTGCGCCACGGAGTCATCAGTATCATAGATTTACGTTATATTGAAACAAACTAAAACTCTGTTCCCCGCGTTCTTGACGTCATTGTGGCTTTTATTGTAAGCAAGGTCGTTTTTTTAATTTAATTTTAATTAATTTCATTAATTTACCTACTAGTAATTAACTTATCTTGAAAATCCTTCGTACAAGTAACTTGCAATTCCCTTGATTAAAGTCTTGATAGAAAGTTTTATTAGTTATATCCGCAGGAATCTTATAAATTCCCCGAAGTGCGTACAAGCATCGGTGATGATCCTAGAGAATTTGCACGTTATACTGAAGAAGTGCCAACCGGACGAAGTCCAAAGTGAGGTCATGCCATTGCTATTCAACGCGTTGGATAGCAACACCAATCAGGTTCAGGTCAGTGCTGGCGAGATTTAGTGATTTTGATTTTATTTGCTTTCTGACTTACATATAAATATTCGATTTAAGTTAAGCAAACCATAAGGCGGTTTTCCCCCTTAAAATTGATCCTATATAATAAAAGGTGAGACTGTGTTAGTATCAAGATCTAGAAGCATTCTGTTCACGCCTGAGTGTACCTTTCAGACGGCTTCGCTCATCGCCATTCAAAACGTATCGGATAGCATTGAAGACAAACATCTGCACAACATTGTCCTCGGCAAAGTCAAAATTTTGCTAGAGAAGAACCAGAGTGACGTGAAAATAATCAGTTTGGTGCTCGGATTCTTCGAAAAAGTGCTAACTAGACTGGAGCGCAACCACATTCTGGAGCACGTCATTCCCACTCTGCTGGCCATGCGTTTGACCGACCCAGATATTATTAACCGGGTTGTTAGTAAGTATGATTGGTACAGACCTCGACCGATACTGATTTCCGCGTGTATTTTTTTTTTACGTCAGCGGTAACTTAGTCGAAATTTTATAACGTTACACAAGTTTTTGTTGAGCTAATATTTACATTTTGAATATCAATCGTGGAGGATTAATCAGCGCTGTTGCGAAAGTGAAATGTTTATGTAGGACAATTTTATGCGCTTATTTTAGTGGCACACTGTTGTTTCAAAAATAAGCTTTTGAATGCTAGAAAAATTTTCTCAATTTGCAATGAATTTAGCCCTGCGAGTTCCGAGTGCGGTCTGGCAATTGCACATTGCGAAACTTGGCGAACGTTCTTTGGGTTAATTGGTGACTGAAGCGAATTAGCACTCTACACAGCATGGTGTAAACCAAACATTGGTTACAGAGCTGTATAAGACCATCCTCGCGGAGCAGAAATTTGGATTGACCACCAACGTGATGGCTACAAGAATGATTCCCGCACTCGCCCCTCAAACGGTCAATCCTTCTTTGAATGCTGATCAGTTTGCCAACCTCATGGAGGTGAGGATTTTAATCAGTAACCATAATATTAAAACTAAAAATACACGAAAACCAAGAATACCCTGCCTGGACACCATAATATTTTTTTACCTTTCACATTTCAATAAGACTGAACTTATAAAACAGATCATTATTCCAGAATAGATGCTTCAAAATGTTTTTTTATAGTTTTATGATTACATATGGTGGCCTCATTTCTTAATTTCGTAACTTACTTAAATACTTAATATTAGCGTATTCATCGCTGATCATCAAACAGTAAATCAGCAAACGAAAAGATACTTACATTTAAAATTTTAGTACAATGTCTGAAGTTCTGAATTAGAAATCATATGAAATGTTAAATTTTGACCCATAAAAGAACAAAAAAATTTGTTTTAATTTGAACTGGCTTCTACTGAATATTATTAAACGAAACTCTATTTACCAATCCGTGGTATAAATGAGTTAAGTAAATATTTGCGTATATACCACTAAATAATGTATTAGCTTCCACATCTTTACTTACAAGTTCCACAGTTTAGAGTAATAAGTCTGCTTAAAATCCGAAATGAAAGCAGAACAGCTAGCTATAGAATAGATTTCTAATTATTAGATTCTGTACGACATGCTGGAAAACATCGACAAGAGTCAACGCCTAAGAATGAAAGCAGAAGGCCTGGCTGTGCCGAGCCCTGAGCGCCATCGTGCTCTGCGCCACCAAATGAGCAATGATAATGTAACCGCTCCGCCATTCAATATTCCAAACCTGCGAGTGGAGCAACGCAAGACGTCAAGCGCCGAGGACATGGCACGCAAGAACTCAGTCACTGGCCAAAGCAACATAGGCGGCAGCATTGGCGCCTTCAAAAGCAAATTCTCGCTCGGTAGATAATATTTTCATTTATATTAAATTTTGTTTTCACATACGAGAGTAGACGATGTTGAAAATAAAAAAAGTAAGTAAAAAAATGTGTTCGCTCATTACATCTAATCTCAACAGGTACGGGGATCGGGCAATGGTTCTTTGGTTCGAGCAACTCCGCTAACAATGATAGTAACTTTTTGCGCGTGGGGAATGCTTTCCCTAATCGTCGCCTGTCCGACAATACTCTCATGACCCCTAAGATTCGAATTGCTCCATCCTGCGCCTCGTCCCCCGGCGGGACCCCTGGGGGTAACGCGGGCTTGCCAACGCGTCGCCATTCAAGCATTGGTCCTCAGGAACGTCGAGGCTCAGCCGTTAATCTATCGCCTCCAACCGTAAGTCCTGAGAAAATCCTCTCATTATCTTTGATTAGTAACCTTTAAATATGTTGCCTTACCAGCATTCTATGCCAGCGCAAACTGCTACGGTAATAGCCGGTGTCGGTGATAATGGTCTAGTGACAGTGTTGTTTTGACAGGCATACCAGGTCAGAGGCCGAGGCGGTTCAGGCTCAAGCTTGTCCGTACCTTCGACTTCACACTGCGTCGTAAGTGATGAGCGTGCCACCCGGAAACGTCCAGTCGCTCAGCCCTCCATTGTATGTCGATTTGATAAGGATTTGTATTTGTATGTGGTCTGTCCTCTTCAGCGTCTTCAACCCAAACTGACTGGGAGAGATATTGTCTCACCATTCACGTTATCATTACACATGTACATCTGCACGAACCTGGTTGGCGTTTTTATCACACGTTTGCGTACCTTCTGTGTCCGATCATTAGTCCCTCCTATCATATCATTTCAAAGCCTTATCCACCCTCAATGTGAGATCGTGTCAAATATTGTCGTAAAAAAGATGAAGTGATGCATGCTCATCATTTTGTGATTTGACTGATGCATGCGCACCTCGCCACTGAAATGTGTCCGTTCTGTCCATAAGGAGTAGTTGATACTGCGTAAAAATGTTAATTGCCACGTAGCCTACGGGGGCATTAGGAATTGCCTACGTCGATTCAGTGTTGTCTTCTGTTCATTAACCACAATTGGAGATTTGAATTGGCATTCGAGTATTTCAAAAATTTTAATTGTTTAAACTTAATTCGCACATAACCCACACACAGACGTTTAAAATTATTTGTGGGCAACAATAATTCGTTTACATGCAAGGCAAAAATTACCTAACCGGGGAGTAAGTAATAATAGAAAACGGTAAAATAATTTTTTCATAGACACCAATGGCTTTTTGGCAAATATATAACGTTGTCTCATTTACTGTTGCTATTTGTTCTTCTACGCAGCTTGCACGGAGCATGGTCGTGAGTATGACTGACCTTCTATGCATTTCTGCGGCGGATTTCACTTTTTGATGTTTTACTTATTAAATATCATAATTTTATGTTACACTATTGCCACGATGTTGCCATCTATGAGTATTAAAATATTACTTGTTAATTGATAATTTTAAATAATTACATGAGAATAAGAATTGTTTAAGTTTGTGTACTTATTTATTTGAAAATTAAATTTTTAAGTTATACAGTTTTGTTAAGGGCTTAGAAAATTATTTCTTCAGTTTCAACATCTAATATAAAGCAATAGTTTCAGACAGCTTGGTGATAAAACTTTTTAAAAGGTTTAACGTTTTTCCGGCTCGAACTGGATTAAAATTAAAGACTTTTTCATAAATTAATTTGTTTGTTGGTTTTATCTTGTTTATTTCTAAAAATATTACCATTTCTTACCACTACTTAACATTATCCTGTGTTGTAAGGAAGTTTTACAAACATAAATTTAATACTTGGACAAACACTCAGATACGAAACATCTATCTGTAGGTCACACAAAAAGTTTGCCCGTGTGGGAATCGAACCCACGACCCCCGAAGCCGAAGCCTTCGCAACTGCGCCACGGAGTCATTAAAATGTAAATAAACTTAGCAATGAATGTAAACAAATTGGCAACATCGCAGCGAAAATCAGGCCTGGCATAATAAAAAATATATACACTTTACCTGTACTACATTAATCGCATTAAGAACGCTACGGAGAAAGTTTAGCTGCGTAATAGCATGCAGTATCAGTTGCTAATTGTCATGTATGTAGGGAAAGCTATATACATATCTGTTCCGAACAGCATCATTAACTCATTAATTGTGTCATCGCTTATGCTGCTCTTTTCCTTGAGTATACGTCTAATGCTTGAATTGATTTACAGAAAGGCTCAATAAGAAAATTCAGGGTAACAATTAAGTAAAACTTCAAATAAAGTTCATCCTGTAACATTAAATGGTTTATTCAACTGTATATGTATTATAAAAAAGGCTTTAATCTTTAAAGAAATTCAGAGCGACACCGGAAATGTTCCGAGCTTACTTTGTACACTTATAAAGTATTGTTACAGATTGCATTACACTTAATCTTTTTGTGAAACAAAAAAAAGGAATGAATTTTGTGATATAATTTTTCAGAAATTCAATTCAATATTACTTATTTTTGCTATGCCCTTTGGGTGGGTTCACGTCTTACGCGTACTTCACCCTTGGTTTGGCTGGAAACTTGTCTAATATAACTAGCACAATAACATCGTTCTAATGCGGCTCATAGGGGGGATCTATGCCGAACACGTCATCGAGTGTTCCCTTCTTGCTGACGTCGTCGATGCAGTCGATCCGCTCGCGTCGGCCGTCTGCGGTCCTCGGCGGCTCCCAGGGGTCGGGGATACTGCAGCAGCTGAGCAGCGGAATGGTAAGGCACCTACCGATGGGAGCTCACAACAGCATGCAGGCGCACCTGCATGCGCCGCTGGGCGCCATACAAAACGCGGCGGCCGCCGGCTACAATGTGGTGAAGAAATGCCCCTCACTTAGCATTACGATCAACCGTTAGACCGACGAGGACACGAAGAGCTATCTGAGGCGACGTTTACATTCAACGCAACATTAGTTCTTAAAATGGCTGAAAGTCTATTCTTCCCCAGCCGGAATAATTCTTGCTCAACAAACTAAAACGACTCCCGTCCGACGCCTCTATGTTATGTAGTTACGTCGATGTTGTCTCTATCACCTCCTTAGATTTATTTGCATATACCCTACTAGAAGTCCTGTATTATAGCTTTATGAGTTACCTGTGAGTGTTTATACTCTGTATTTGCTTAACTTATCTAACCGATCTTTTTCCAAGGATTCGTAACTATATGTAATATAGAATGAAATTAAAAAAATCAATGACTCTATGTTAAAATACCTTTAACTATCAGGAAAAAGAGAAGCACTGTATAACTTAAATCAATAAATTTTAATTAAGATATCATATGTCAATCATTCGAATTTATATCGTAGAATGGATTCAAATTTAAAAAAAATTGTAATATCGTAAAATTTTATAACGTTATAAAACAAGAAAAAAGCGGTAATAATATTAAACAGTGTTGAAACAATTTATGTTAAAAATGTATTGAAAACGAATATTTAAAGTTTATAAAGCCTTTACCAAGCAGAATGTGCCAAAAGAAGGAAAAACAATAATTATTGACATAGAACTCGATTTACGAATTGCGCTAACTTTAATATATTTGAACATCTTAAAGGGCCGTAAAATAAAAGTACAGACAATTCATGAACTGACTTTGACAAACCTAACAATGTGGTTGCAAAAAAACCTTGCTTTACTTTTCACAGAAATTGAGTAGACGGACACGCAGTATCCCATATCCAGTCTCACATCTCACTCATCTACAAAGAGTATATTCATATTAATCCAACACAGAGCATATTTAATCCAACCGAAGAAAATTTATTCATTTATGAGATCATTATCCTCATTGTCGTAGGGATAACGAGAACTTCATTTAATATTCATGCTATTTTTATCCAAAGATATATTCAGTGCACGAGATATTTATCAAAGTATATGGCACTGTAGATACGTATTAATTGTCAATGTTATAATGATTTTATTGCAATTCGTATCGTAATAAACTGAACTACGGATACCGATAATAATTTTTCATCCTTATTTACCAATATTGGACAAATGTATTTCATTAAGCCGTATTTCATTAAGGTCTATTGTGGTGTTTCAGTTTGTTTTACACTTAAGTTATCAGAGATCTTTGTGTCGAGATAATATCTTCTTGTTTCATTAATTGTTGTTTAATCTCGTTTTCTTCGTAGATACATTGTCGCTAGCCGGTTATTTACTTTGTGTGCTTGCTGTAGTTTGACTGCGTGTAAACCGTAGAACTCTACTACGGCCTGCTCGTTCGCTACGACGCTGGTGACGCGGCATCGGGTGCAGTAGCGTAGCGTAGAGCTTTTAGTGGAGCGGGCGGGCGGGGTCGGTGACACCGGCCTCACGCGCTTTCTGTTTTTAATCACTGTTTATTGTGGTTGCTTGCAGCACCAGCTGTTTACTGGGCGTTCGTAAACAGGGAAATGATTGTCATTTGGGCGGGTAGCGTAGCATCCGGCGGCCCGGGGAAGAGGCGGCCCAGCGACACTTGCCGCTCCGTCCGCCCGTGCATCGCGCCGCTCCCGCAACCATCCGCTTCCGTTACATTCTTACCCCCGGACATTCCACATCATCAATTGCCGCAATATGGCAGCCTGCGGAAAGACTTGGCGTACAGCGCGTCTTAGCCTCGTCACAGTCGTGACGTCACATTCCACCTCTCCACCCACACCAGATCTCTCCGTATTTCAAACACATCGGACATTACCCAGATTATTTAAAGCTTCGCACAATCTATCGCGCTAAGTCACGTGAGCGTTACGCTTTATCTCACCACTGCTTGTTCTTAAAACGCTCAACTGAGAGATTGTGTTTCTTTCTTCAGTTAAGGTACAACGTATACGGCAAACATCTATTATGTGCTAGGAATGAGAGGGAAATATAATGGGAAAGGAAAGGAAAGAAAAGGGCTAAGAGGTTGTATTCATATATTTACACCAAGGTCATTATTATTTTTCAACAGGTTCTATACTACTTAACACTTATTTTAAGTGATCTCCAGACAGATATATTATTTTACAAATATAATATTTTATTCATTTTTAACAATTAACTATGTTTAATTTATATTGTTAACTATGTTTCCATAAACACCCCATTATAATTTTTTTACAAATCGATAAAATTCCTCTATCAGTTCTAAGAAACGTGCACTATTTTTATAGAAAAATATATATTATTATACCAAAGATTGATATTTATAGATATTTAGGAATGTCCAGAGAATAAAGAGTAGGAGTAAGGTTCATCTGTAAGCGCCGCCCTCTGTGTCTACGCGTGTAGACGTTAACTATTTCTAACACTTAATGAAAACTATTTATTATATCTAAATTGTACACTAATGCCTTTCATGTACCTATTAAGAACTTCTCTTTTTTATTGATTATTGTGTGATACAAACGTAATCCTCTCAAAGAGGTTATATTTACCCTCGAACCTTTTTAAAATGTTTAGTTTTACATAAAACGTGGAAGTTACACTATAAATTTACATATTTGAAAACTTTAATATGTGCCTAATTATATATATCAAAAGTTATAAATATTCGTAGCATCATTTCGATTTTACTCTTATATAAATGTATATTCTTGTATCCCTGAACAAATCATTCTATTTTGTCTGTTGTATATTTATATTAAAAAAACCCTAGTAGCAGTTAGGTATGTGTATACATGTATTACTATCTGCATATATTTACTCTCCTCAGGGTTGTGGTGTTTTGCTCATTGTTAGTGATGTACGAACTTTATAGACACTTATGTATACAATATTCCCATTACATTCGTCAGAGAAATCTTTCCTGTACTCTTACTAACATAGTTAGTCTTTTTACCTGACCCTTGCTCTCCTGTGATCGTGTAAATCTTTACTTGACTGTTATCTTTCTAAGATTTGTAATGTTTGACAATACTTTACTAGGATTTTTCATACTTCTCGCTTCTCTTACGAATCTAGTCTTTAAATTTAGATAAGTATTCCGTGTTTTTGGTAGAACTTATTGAATTCTTTACAATTTAGCATTTATTTGACTCTTGCTCTTATAAAATTATATAGAACACGCTCTTATCATTATTTATAAATAGGCTGTCAGTCTTATAGTTAACTAGTTGGTAAAGCCGTTGTTGTGAAACAACTAAAATAGTAGCAGGATTTAATATGTATTAATTCTTTCCTTGTGGAACATTTTCGTGAGAAGATTTGTCATACAACACTTACTGATTTAGGCAATCCGCATATATTGGCATCATTAAGTAGAATAAGAAAGTTTTTAATGTTTCATTAAATTACTAGGTACTCCTTGATTGTTACTGTCGTCTTTAATAATTTTCCTTTCTGTTACGAAAATTACTAAGATCACTATCAAAAGAAAATTTGAGATCTCACGATGAATAGTGAAATGTTAGTTATTAATCTTTGCAAAAAATATATAGCTTTATATTTGATGTTATAGAAGTTAATCTAAAACATATATGTGTTATGCAAATTTCATGAAATATTACAAAACTCTTATACTTTAATGTTGCAATTTAAATACTCGTAGTTGGAAAGCTCTTAGGGTCTAATATTTTCGCAGAGCTTGACTTTTCAAATATATTCTATTGTAGTGAATTGAATATTTCGAGTAGTGGTTATTATATTAAACATTAAATATGTAGTTGAAAATAAATGACGTATTAAGAAATATTATTCAATGTTACAGTATTCATACATAGACAACTCATGTAACCTACAGATTTAAAAATTAGAAGATTTATGTTATGTATCAAAAGATGTAGTGAAATAAAAAAAAATTAGAAACTTTGCCTTTCATTTCTCAAACTGCCAAATCACCCTCTTCTATATGTACATATATCTGTAGTAATCTGAAGTATCAGCGTAGATTGTTATATATATATATATATATATATATATATATATATATATATATATATATATTATTTTAACTAAAACGATAAATTCCAAGATCTTCTATAAAAGTTGTTGAAAATAAAGAAAACCGATGAATGACTAGCACGCAATGAAATCACTCTAGATAAGAATTAATTTAAATACCGACAGAGTCAGCATAACACGAGAGTGTATATTACACAATCAAGCGTACGGCGCAATATTTTCGAGTCATCTACAAATTTCATTGTCAATGGCTATCAGACATTCGCCCTATATACGGACCGAGTCTAGGTCAGTCGGCCATATTTCGATCAAATGGAATCGGGGACATCGGTTGAACGCGCACAAATTATAAGGAAAATTTTTAGTATCAATTTTAAACAGCATTTGAGTAATTACATTTATTGTCGTCACTCAGTCATAGTTTCAATTAAATCTAATATTTTGCAAGCATTTGAAATAAATACCGTTTTTCTTTTTCTTTATTTACTGAAATAAAAACTTTTATTTCGCGGAAAAATTACATAAGAAGCTGATTTAACTCCAATCAAGCCACTCTATGTATCATTAACGAATTAATGAATACATTCGAGCTTTCACGCGTACTTTAATGGTTTATCTATTAGCATCAAAAGAGAACCTAGACTGACCAGTAATTATGTCTTTTCTTATTTTTATTCTAAAAATAAATCGAATCAATTTTTCAAACCGTTATAGATTTATCATTTTTAGTCGTCTCTACCTGGATAACCTTTCTTTTTCATCCTCATATTCTCTACATTTGGCGTTGGGGTCGTACGTTCGATTCCCACGCTGGACAAGTTAGTATTTGCGTGACCCACAGATAATTTCCAGTTAAAAAGTTCCAGTTGAATCTGGGCGTTTGTTTCCCAAGTTTTCAGACAGGCGGCCGACCGTAAAAATTGACGAAATGCAGTCGCACTCGCCCTCCAAGGGTTCCGTACCATTGTCTAAAAACAGCAAAAAAAAAATCATGTCTGCTGTATGGAAGCCCCACTAAAATACTTTTATTCTGTTTTTAGTATATGTTGTTATAGAGGAAACAGAAATACATCATCTGTTAAAATTTCAACTGTGTAACTATCACGTTTCATGAGATACAGCCTGGTGTCAGGCGGACTGACAGACAGACAAACGGCGTAGTCGTAGTAATAGGATACCGTTTTACCTTTTGAGTACGGAACCCTAAAAATCCAGCCAAAAACCGTTTACGACCCCACCCACGTGGGATAAGGACAGGAGTATGATGATGATGAGAAAATTATGTATCTTCTAATTACTTTTTCTACATATTTTAATATCTTCTAATTAGTTTTATACATTAACTAGCTAGATAGCAATAAAACTGAAGGAAATGCCCTTACGTAATAACAAATATTATGGTCATCATAAAAATTATTTTTGAGATGAGTTGAACAATGATTGTTTTCTCTGCTTGTACACTGAGGAAGAATATAAACAATTATCGTTATATTGTGTTTTCTAATTTTATCTTAACTGAATAACTCGTAAAAACGAATGAATGTTTTAATTAAAATAAAATAATTTATTACAATTTCTTCTCGTCATATAAAGCTAAATTTTATAAAGGAATCGTTAAGCATGTTACGCTTCGGAACTTTACTTGGCATTAAACAACAATCCATAAACATTAATTATGAACAAAGTTATAACTCGGTTTATGAACATTATTATTCCTGGCCGTCTCTTGACTCTGTGAAATGGTAGTTATAAAATTTTAGATATTAAATAAAACTAAAACACTAAATATTAAATATAAATAAATAAGAAATATTTGAAAGAAAAAATTATTAAATTTAACCTGAATAACATACCTAAATTAGATCGGTAAATAAGTATTAAGTTACCTTAGAATAAGTTAATTATTGTTCAAAAATCAATGAAATTTTTCAAACCAATTTTATAGTCCAGCAATACAGGCAAATATTAAAATCAAATTAATAATAAAATCTTGATTTAATATTTTCTTGCAAATAAAATAAATCAGAGTAAATGATTCATACAACAAATAAACTCTCGTTACTTGTGTACTTTACGAGTAAACATTAATTTTAATTCAGATGGATGAAAATATTTGCTACTCCATACTCTGAATAACAATCGATTCAATTCATGGTTGCCTTACTCTACATACCTATATAGAGTTAGGCAAGGATAAGCGTAATCTGCTAAAGTAAAAGTTCAATTAAAAAACATACATTTTTATGGCGAAAAGGGGCGAAAAACGATACAAAAGAAAATTCTAATAGCACCTACATTTCTTTCTCTTACTAACTTTCCGATTCGCCGGTACAAAATGCCGTACTACATTAAGCCAGCCTTTTGTACCAGCTGGTACAAAAAAACAGCCAAGTGCGAGTTGGACTCGCGCACGAAGGGTTCATTAGGACTATCTATAATACGAAACCTATGTTCGCTCTCGACTTACTTATGCACCGCATAACATAGGCAACGTCTTCAGGTCCAGCAGAATCTATCTCTACCACTTGTCGAGGGTGCGTGACGCTACGTTAGGAATGACGTCATTTTTTTAATGCGAAAAGTTGCCAAACGAACTGGCGGTTCACCTGATGTTAAGTGAATACCGCCACCCCTGGACCTGCAACACCCGATGGTTCCAGATGCGTTGACACCCTTTTGAAGATTGGGCTCCGGCCACCTCATTCAACAGACGGAACGCGAAAGTATTATA